ATTACTCTGTGTTCCTACATATTTCGTTGTAATTATTTTTATACCCTGACCATGAGAGCGCAATTTTAATCATTCCCCGCTTTCATATTAATTTGCCTGAATATAGATGACTACATGTAGCGATAAGGCCATTTTACCTCTGTCTTGCACTTAATATGTTTTTATCTATTTATACATATTAATTTATGCAATTGTATTTTCTATGAGCTAAATAATAGAGTTTTCATTTCATTTTGCATTCTATTCTAATATGCTCGTCGTGTTGCCATATATATATATATATATATATATATATATATAGGTGACCATTATTACATGCCATCAGGTGGGCTATTAGTATATTTTGCATAGCAATTTTATTAAAATAATAGTTATTTGGGATTAAAGAGTAAATACCGATATATTAATCGGTATGACTAATGCCATTCAAATATGTAATTAATAAGTAATATAAGTAATAAATTCACGAAATGTAACAAATATTGATAGTTTATTTATAGTTTATTTTGTATTAGGAATAGTGCAAATGTAGCGGTTAAAAGACTGTTAATTAGTTTCGTTTTTCTCAATAATAAAAATGAAAGTTCCGCAAAACCTACAAAACATCTGATTATAAAAGAGAAAAGATACATGAGAATATAACGAAAATGTCCATGCAGAAAGGTAACATGACCCCAAGGCTTATGTGATAAGAATAAACTAATAAGAATTTTCGCACCAATTTCTTTTGTGCCGACTAGCGGCTGGACCTTATTTTTCTCTCCGACTGAGTACGGAATTTATGAGAGACCCCAAAGCAATAAAATACCTTGCGAGAAAATGAAGGAGAGAATCGCAATATATTTGTTTCTTGGTGGCTAGAGCCTACAGTTTCAGACATCTGCGAGTATAAACCGGTTTATGATATAAATGCACATTTTATTAACTCTAACCATTAACTACGGTACAAGCAACTATAGTTAATTGCAACAATTTCTAATGAAACACCTCGGTTCTGGTATTGGTAAACTATACTCGTATATATGTAGAAAGTGTTTAAGTATAATACATGTAAGTGTTCATATATCGTAGGTATATTTTAGTATAAATTACTGGAAGATTTTTTCGAAATGATAATGATCTCCATTTAATAGACAGACATAAACATCGTATTTGCTTTATATTGGAGACGACATAGAAAACAGATGAAGATTATTTATAAAATTAACAGTAATTATTAAGTATGATTATATGATATATTGAGTACAATTGACCCTAAGTAATATGAATATCCAATACGACCACGTTTTAATTTTGGATACTATTGAATAAATAGTAATAGTGGTTCCGAAATACTTTCGTTAATTGTATTATTACAGCACAGTTTTAGCAATATAACTTTATGTAAGGCTAATACATTTTAAATAGGTTTTTTAGCCTATGCATCACAGACGAAAATAGGTCTTTTCTCTTTAAATACTATTTTAGAAAATTATGAAAATATAAACAAATCAAAAATATTTCTCAGGCTCAATAATGAATTGAATAACTTATAAAATCAAATTCCGAAAAAGATATTTAATATTAAATTATTAATTAAATCATTAAAGGCGATTTTCCAGAAAACTTTCAGATAAACAGTACCTATATAGTTACGCTTGGATATCTTTGTAATCGAACAAGAAAAATATTTATGTTGTCCAACACAAAAGCCTATGAGACAACAAATGTATACAAATGGGCGACAACATACATAGATGTATAAGTTTCAATTCATCAGCGTTTACTTTCCTTTTGTTAATGTATTGCCGTAATATATTATAGGTTTTTATTCTACCTACTAATCTCAAACAGTAATGTATTACAGAAATTCTTTTATACAGTACTAGCGTTTGTTTACGGCTTTGTATGTGGATTAAATATAATTTAAAAAAACTTTTACTATCAGATATTTAATACAAAATAATACCTTTGTCAAAGTTCAGTATCCTGGTCGTATAAGTATTGGCTATGTTGTTGTGTGCGTCAGAACAGATAGTTACGATTTATTAATCTATTTAATAGGTAACTAAGAATTGTGTATTACAAAATTAATTAAAACATAGTAAGTCTGAGCTAATTTTGTAAATATATTAAAGAAATCATACCTGTTTATGATTTGGTTAAAAATTGTATAATAATGAATGAGAACCGTAAATTTTTATGTTGACGTTCAGTTTGGTAGGAGAAAAGTTTTTTCTTTCAGCAAAATGTACAATTTCAGCGATTATTCCCATAGCTATGACAGTTGGCATCTTTGTGTTTCTCTTGCGGCACAACCGGGCCCATAAATAATTCATAAATTCCACCGTGCTATATTGTTTTCGCTAACAAAATACTGCGAATATGCGAATTTATTTCTACGTTACGATTGTATTAGATATACTTCAACAAGTTTTCAGTAGTTTTAATAATTTATAGTCTGAATGATAAACTAAAGGAAGAAGAACAACAAATAATTCTTTGTATGAAACATAAGAAAACGATACAGTAAAGTAGGTCAGGAATGGTAGACGAGTCGAAATAGACCCTTTTGGAGAAAGTTCCTTAATTTGTTGTATCAACAAATGACGACTCGGTCGTAAGAATAGTAAAGTAGTTAGTGCATTAAGAATTATGGATATTTCTAATAATATAATACACCACTAGTCTAATAATTGTAACAACATTTATATTTCAATCGTTTTAGCTTTAAATGTTTCTGATTATTTTGAGATTCTGGTAGGATGGCTTCGAACACATTTGACGACCTCGGTGGTCTAGTGGTTAGCACACCGCTTTACGTCCGATGGTCTCGTGTTTGATTCCTCGCACGGTTTTTCATTTTTTGTATTCATGAGTATGATTGTTTGTATCGGTCTGGGTGTTTTCTATGTATAATATGTATGTATTTACGAAAACAAAAAATATCTATGTACTACAAGTACATATATCAGTTATCAGTTATCTAGTACCCGTAACACAAGCTTTAGCTAGCATAACATGGGACTAGACGGCGCTGTGTAAATTGTCCTGAGATTATTATTATTATTATTTGCATTATAAAAAATCATAAAAAAATTTAAGATTGGAATTACGGAAAATTATTTATTAAAAACAAACAAAACATATTTTTACACCTGACAGTGGTAGTTACTTCACATGGATGATGTCCAGATGAATGTTTTATTACACACTAGACACGTACAGTGGGTAACACTTTCCATTCTCTTCGAGATGATAAATTATTTACCTACATCAAATTTTAAGATGCTTTTAGAATTCAGAGGGCGAACGAAAGTGCACGTTTCTGAGCAGAATTGTTTCATAAGAATTTGGATTGTTTGTATATTAAAAATTACTTAGAAACTCATATAACATGGAGTATATTTTTAGTCCACAGGAGTAAAAACATTATGTGTCTACGACGTTCTTTATGTCTATAGTCCTTTCAGACCTGAATTATTTTTTTACATTCGATGGATTTGATAAATTCCATGTGTCTAAAGTATAATAAGGAGACTACAAAAACAAAAATATTTTAGCCTCAAACTTTTCAAAATGAATTAAGTTTTTATAAGTTAACAAAAAATACAAAATGAAAATATATGTCTTCCAGGGATATACCTATAATGGTTGCCACTTTTCATCAGTTGAGTCGTCAGCATACTTTTGTTCCAGTTAAATATCAATATTGTGTAATAGTTTGATACACGCAGAAATAAAAAAATTAAAATACAAATGTAATATTATTTTTAAAAACAAAAATGTAAATATTTCTTCCAGCAGTGTTGTCATCGTCAATAAATTATAACAAATAATAATCTACAATTTTTCGCAGCATTATTCGTATAACCAATATCCAATATTACATCATATTATGTTGTATCACAGATAACATAATATTTGGTTGTATCTTTGAATGAAAAGTCGATATATAAAAAAATATTGCAGTTACAAATAATGTTACTTTAATTTCATGTTATACGGAATGGCTCCTTGAGAGGGTTTCCACGAGTGTAATAGTATACTTAAAAAAATACTTATGTAATGCTGTATATAGCTATAAAGGACGGTTCCCACATTTCATCAAGTAGTTTGTTTGCCATTTCATTCGTATATAAAAAAAATATTTACAAAGCTCTACGTCGGAAAATATCAGAGCAAAACTTCTCGGGAAAATTGGGTACGCGTACCTAACAAATTCCGAGCTTTACAACTAACAGAATGCCAACAAATACTGTAGTTTAATTTCATGAAACATTTAGAATATTCGTACATATTACAGCAATTTTTTTGATTAATTTATTCTTAGAAAATAGGAAAACATATTTTTTATACGTGATTAATATCCTATGCATCTATTAAACCCTATCACCATATATTATGATTATTAACCCGATTATTAATTGGAAAAAGAAGTAGCAAAATTATTTTTGTTTTGGTGAAGTAGTGTGTATAGAAATACCCACTGGATATGATATCATCTCTTGACAGCGGTCAAAAGAATGTTCTATTTTAATTTATTTTACTCCAACCATATAACTCGAACAAAGTTATTTCGAAACACGATTATGATATCATATGCATCATAATTTTAAAAAGATATCTACTTTATTTTTCTCTATACAGACTTAATTTACTACCTTCGGTAGGTATTGTAGTAAGGCAATGCAGATATTATTGGAGCATATCACGTCATTGTTAGTAAAGGGGTTTAGTAGACCCATCGTTGGCGATATATCCTGTCCACGCAGTTTTTCCTTAAAAATTTGTCAACTATTGTGTGTAATTAATCACAACTATTGTGATTAATTCCCGAAGAATATGCCATGATGGGTTAACTGATCTGACTTCATGTTAATTCTACTATTCTTCACTTGTGTCCAAATGGTGTCTATTCTCAGCTCAGTCGTGTGAAACATTCTGTTATTATTAATAAAAATAGACTTCAATATCAAGTTCTACAGTGATAAATTGAATCAATAAAAAATATTACTTACTATAATTCAAATGTCTGCTAGATACATCTTCATCTAAAGCTTCACAGCCCATCTTCATATTTGTTTTGCTGTTGTGAAACTGGTATTTGTGAGAGGTCCTGCAAAAAAAGGAAGAAATAAATACAACTACGAAATCCAATATTATATTTGAACGAGTGGATAAGTAGACCTTTGCGACAAAAATAAAATACAGGTTTGAATTGATCTCATAAATAATTCAATATTTTTGCGTCAGTTCTTTTCGGTTTCCGATATTGGAAATTGATTGAGTTTTAGTTTAGGATTATCTATCTATTTTAAAGTAAACATTTGACTTATTTCTATAAACGTCCTTTTATAGAAATAAGTCAAATTATTATTAAAGATCTTCTTCATCCGAAGAAGCTTCATTCAACCAATTTTTTGGTAAAAAGCCTCTTTCAATGTTCTCCATTTTATTCTATTTAGGTATCAGTTGATATCCATTATGTAGTAGAGCAGGAATGGATATCAACTGAATTAATGATATACTAGTACCACAGACAACATAATATTACACAGCTAGTAAAAATTGCCAGATATAAATATTATTGTCTTGAAACATGACTTAGGGACACACGTTACTGGGGAGAGGGGGTGGAGGTAGTCAACAAAGTAAAAAAAGAATCAATATACACTATATATGTAGGCTTAATATATATTTAAAATTCTAATCAGCCAATTTAAATTAATCAGTAACTTCATAACTGCCTGTTCGCCACAATACAGTGTCTAAATACTTTTTCTTTGCAACTACAAAAAAATGTCTATAGGTATATAGTGCGTATGACAATAATAGAATTTACTAAAATATATATTATTATATTTGCATGTTCAATGAAAAGAAAGAAAAGGAAGGGAAATGACAATTTTGTGTATTCAACTTGACTTCCACTGTAAATCTCATTGAAAATATGTAATGTATTTATTTTATTTCATTATTTAATATTGCTAAAACGTTACTTAATCATATTAGATCTCTAAGAATATGAACAATATTTATTTTAATTTATATATATCTCCTTATGTTAGACAAAAGTACTAGGTCCAAGGCCGCAACTATACGGTTGTGATACAAACTAAAAATAATAAATCAATGCAAACTCACATTAAAAATAGATGAGACGACAATAGCTATCCAGACAGCGAATGAAACTCTGTCGTTTAGGATCTCAACTTTCAGGTTTAAAATAGTAATACAGTAATTTACCCAAAGGTTCGACCGAGGTAGTTTTTGTAAATAGTTATTTGCGTAGGTACCTCTGCTTCTAACTTCCAAGCTGCTTGATTTGAAAGTCCTGTAACGGTTCTGTAGAGTGAGAGTATACTCATAGGCAGTGTACTTACATGATAAGAGGACATGACAATGTAAGCCTCTGGAACAAGGACTACGTATGAGTGGTATCACGGGTATCACATGATAACGTGATGTCTGTTGTTCATGTATATAGGCGAGCGTTACCGCTTATCATCAACTTGTTTGCCATTCCAATTACATGAAAAAAGGTTAATTATATTTGCAGAAAATTTTTTAAACATGCCTATTTAATATAAGTGAGAAACTCTTAATTTTTCATTATAATCAAACATAACCTTTCCATCCTTAATCACTGTCAGGATCAAGTGCGGAACCCTTATCGACCGACTCACTGGACTGAATTTTTAGGTTCAGTTTAAGCAGATTCGTAGCTATATTTTACCACTTTAGATCGCCAGAGGGTTTCGCTATAGAATCTTAATGTCAAAATTTAAAGTAGATTTGAATTCATAGCTATAAATAGCTAACTAAAAGCATCAAGAATTCGACTATTAACAAAGCATGAATAAGTACCGGTGCAAGTAAAGGAAAATACTAACATTAGACCAAACTCGTCTAGCAAGTGGGAGTAAAAACCTACTGCTTTAAAATGAGATCGATTGTCGTGTTATTATGATAATGATGACAGGTATAACACGATGGCCTTTACAAATTCTTCGCAGTTGCTTCATTTGATATTTTGTATAATATTCCTATTCTTCTTGTAAATAGCTTTCATTTTTTTCTTAAGCAAAATAATGTCTATTAAATATTATTAGTTATATACTGATAATGACTCGTATATAGGTATTCTATTGGTTGAAAGATTTTTTTAATACTGAGTTTTTTTTATAGTTTATATTTTATAAGAAAAGAATAATTAGATATATTAGCTTTTTAAAGTCTTATCATATTTATTTTTATATATTAAGGTAAACGAGTTATAATAAATTGGCTGACCAAATAAATGCCTATAAAATAGCACTTTCATAATAATTTTGAGGCAAAAAGAAAAGAAGACTTTGCACAAACCCTTCTGCATGCATATAATTAGTAGATGTTAAATGTAATGTTTTACTACAAATTTGATCGTTAATTCAAACGATTTTGTAGTAAAACGTTATTATCTCGTCTAGTATTGCAAGTACCCTTATATGCAGGTATTAGCCGCTTACTATCAAAAAGACTGTATAAAACTTATGATTTATTCTCATTCCCATTATACAAAAAATACATATAATTTATTAAATTGGAACTCTATATAAAATTATAATGTACTTCAAATTCTTTTATGTCAGGCACGCATATAATTTTTTTTATCGCGACATAATAATGTGAGTTAGTACATGAGAAAGCTGTGATCAACTCGTCTCGAACGCTATTAAAGTATAGCCTGAAGCTTTATCGGCAAATTGTCGCTGTCCCTGGAGACATGGAAAAGAATTATTGGAGTAACTTGCTATAGCGGAAAAGAGGTAAATGTTGTTAGGAAGCGACTAAACGACTTCTACTACTATATACCTACTACAATATATAGGACGCAATATAATCGGTTAACTTCACTAAGCATCTGACATGATGTCTGTCTTAGCTTATTCTAAATTAAATATACTCCGCGATGCTGCCTTCATGAATGCGAGAAAAAATGTTCAAAAGACTGTATAACGGAATGACTATGTTCAGAGAAGAACGTAAGAGGAAACATATTACGCCGACTCCAAGTGATATGGGATAGGGATGATGATCATGAATTGAAATATCTGAAATCTGAGTTCCAAATTGAAATAGTATTCGTTCGTGAGTAGATTTTGCATGAAAGGGTAACAAAGAAACATTGGTTAATTTTCATGAACTTTAATGATGATAGTTCTAGTAGGTATAACTATGTGAACGTGGCAATTATTTTCCTAATAAAAAAATAATAATCGGAAAGTTATGTATACCTATATTATAGTGTAAAATGTTAAATAGGGGTTAGAAGGGTTTTTTTTCGATAACCTGTAAAATAAATTGGAACCATATAAATGTTTGCTTCATAAACAGTCTAGAAATTATTTTATGAGATAATCCACTTGTCTATTTTTAGCTAAGAACAATAATGTGCAGGATATATACAAGACTTTTAGAAGAAATTAATGTCATCAACAACACTATAGTAAGAGATATAAGAAATTACTACTTGATGAAGACAAAACCTATACAATAGGTGATAGGTAGCTTTATAAATCGCACATGGACTAGTTGACGATCTTATGGCGTATCTTAGACTACATCATCATCATTATCATTAGCCCACTGTAGTTCCCTGCTGGATATAGGCCTCTCCCAAGGGGTACTGGGAACAATCTTCAACCGTTCTCATCCCGTTATTACGCACAACCTTACGTATATCGCCGTTTAGACTTCTAAATATTAAATGTCATTTAAAAAAGTCCCCATCAATCGTTGAAATATATAATTACAGAGAGAATCATTATAAAAATATTGTATATAACAAAATTGAAGTTTATATTAGAAATTTGAATATAATTATTTATATATATAGAAATATCTAAATTTATCAAGTGAGAATTCAATACTGAAACAAATTGAAGAAGACCACAAAAGCTTTACAATTCAAAGATTTGTCCAATATTAAAATGTTTTCATTTGCTGTCTGTTTGATGTATTGAATACAGCAACCGTGCCTTTCAATTACCTCCATAACGACAGGAATTTTGTTCTATAATTCGTATTTCGTCGAAATACTCTGTAATTGTAACTTTGGTTGTAGGTCTATTTTGTATTTGTAATCTTCATAATTAATTTACAAAAACAAGACTTTATAAAATCGTCGACGTTGGTAACTCAGTTGTCCTATTTCAGTTGTAAGCTGTGTTTCATATATTTCATACATAAGGCAGTTAAAGTATAGGATAAGGAGCAATCATGCTTCTTATCTTGTATCTATCTTAGACCTACGGAATGGGTGGCTTATGAGTTATAAGTGATATCATGGGCGTTACATGATAACGTGATGTCCATAGTGTGCAAAAAGATGCTGTTTGAATCAATGACAAAATACCGCACACGTTCACTCATATAAAATCGAAATGGAAGGTAAGTTATAACCGTCGCCTATATACATGGACTACGAATATCACGTTATCATATGACATCGTATGATATCATACGTGCATTGCCATTCCGGATATATAATATGCTATGCCACGTATCTTGCAATTTCACTGCCTTATCTAAGTCTTAAACCGAAACATAGCTTACAAATTAAGCTGCTTGGCCGCTAAAATAAGCGAGACAAAGGTACCTACGCCAACGACTTTTTTTTTAAGTCTACCTTTATAAAAATGTTAAGACAATGATTTAGCAGATTTATGATCCGTAACAAAATAAATCCTCAACAAAAATAAATCTGCAATGAAATCTCGCCAATATTTCATTTCAACCAATATTTCAAACGCTACGATAAATAATTGTAGTGTATTTAATACAGTGTAGACTACACAGAAGTTATATCTACTCATTTCTGTGTTGTATATGAATGTAATATGATTTAAACTATGATTGTAATATAATTTTGTTGCACGTTTCATATATTCAGAATAGATATATATTGCTGAAAATAATATTTAATATTTTGCAACAGATAAAGTAGGAATATAATAATTTTTGGGTAAAATAATATTAATTTTCAATCCATAGCTATGTTCTCGAGTCGTTTTCTTTTAATAACTTTCCTCAAACAAAAGGCCAGGACATTGTTATTTTTTCCATTACATATTGAATATTGGTGCAACTATATTTTATAAATAAAATAGTCTAATAGTTGCGTCATAAGTCATAGTAATAGTCTATTATGAAAATAAAGCCCTTTTCCGTACGCCTTTTATGTTATTTTATTCAGCCCTTCTCGAACCTCCCTCCAAATCAAGTAATGGAAAGAAAACATTAAACCGAGGTTACTTTTAGGAGCCCATGTTAAGAAAATATATAAACACATCTACGTACTATACGTACATGTGCAAACACGACACATTACGAACAATGCAAACATCAAGTGATTCTTATAAGTAAATGTTTCAATTAAGTTAAATACATTAGTTGTGTTATTATAGGATAAGATTTATTTATATACCAAATTTCATTCAAATCATTTAAGGATTGAACAAATAAAACCTAATAATTATTGTATAACCTAATATATTATAATGATGGGAATCAATAGAAAATAGGTGAACTGGACTAGGCTAATCCTATTATATTTATTCTCTCTGGTTACAAAAACAAACACGTTTTAGTAATACGATCCTTTGTGGTTCTCTTTCTATTATTTATAATTACAAATATGAATTTATCGAATGAATAAATGTTTATTTACTCCATATTGGCATTTGCACAAAGCGGATCTTATATAAATCATTGAAATAACTGAACAAATAAAACAGTATAAAAGCCGGACATTGAATTATGAACGCAATACTTAATTAAATAAGTGAAGATACAAACCAAATAGTTATAAATCTACCTTTATTCTTTAGTTTTTTCTAATGAATAATTTTGTACAACTTGATCTAATAGCAATAAAATATACTTATGTGGTGAAAACAATTAGAAGGTCTATGTATTACAGATTAATAGTTAATAGGCTTATACAAAGTTGCAAGGTACCTACAGATAAAGTTGTCTGCTGGGTGAGACACGAAAATTAGAGTAAGAAGTGGGTCAAAGTCGAGCTGGGGTCGTCGGCCCTGCCGGCGTCGAGTATCTAAAGTAATTACGTAACGAGGATGTCGCGACGAGGCCCCACCCCACAGAGCGAACTCCAATCTAAAACCACCCTTATAAGACACAAAATCGCTCACCCCAACTCCGACAAACTCGTTGTTATGACTGTCTGAGCTTTCCTTTATGGGGAAATGTCGAGTTGGAAATACAGGATAAACTTTAATCTCCTCAAAACAAATGTCGGCCATGTATTACTTATTTCTCGAATGATAAATGTTCTTTGTATGCAAAAGGTGTTACTCACTGTAGTCCCGCTTCGATGAGCTTGCATTTTATTGACGTTTCGCATGTAAACCCATTCTTCTCTTCCAATATCTTGACGAAGCCTGTGAACAAAAAGCGAATTTATGTATTACGAACACATTTTTCTATGATCTTGAATAGAAAAGAATGACCTATTTAACCTAATAAAAAGTGACAATGCCATGCACTAAAATGATGTGACTAGAGCATAAAGTTCTCTCAACTCCTAATATTATTTAACATAATTTTAGTCTAGGAAATTGAAATCTAAATTAATTTAATTATTTTCCAAAGATTTTTAGGTAACTAGAATGTCATATAATGCAACAGTCCACCTGATGGTAAGTGGTAACGGATACCAATATACATGAACAGTACAACAGATATCATTGTATCATGTTAAGTTAGTGATATCCGTAATTCCTGAGAACTAAAACCTAATGGCTTTGCATTCTGCAATTTACTGATAAATCTGACATTTGAAACCGAAACATAGTTTCTAAAGTAAGACATACGACGAGAGATGTAGCTAAGACAGAGGCATCCATGCAGACAACTGTTGTACAAAGTCAACCGCATTGGAGGTACTGTACGGGTATGTCAATAATCGAATCTATTTCATTAGTATCTCAAACAACGACTTATTGACATTGTATCGGTGGCGTTTCATTAGGTTAATTCAATTTAGGATTACTACCCTCTGTCATAACATATTTGAGAAGGGATACAATTTTACGGTCGCATATTTCAAATATTTTATTAATTTTGCATGTGTGTGTCAGGTGTGGTGGGTATGCCTGTAGGGGAGTACAGTATAAAGCAAATTCATTTATATTTTCGGGCGCGCGCAATAAAATCAATACTCTGAACTTTCAGGAGTACAGTGACCTAGTCATGCGCTTCATTCGAATAAGGTCATATATGGGATAAACTATATGGTAGCGGGCAAAATAAAGTGCCCGCTATTGATGACTATCAATTTCACGTACTTTAAACGCGTTTTCTGTTTCCGTGTACATATATATATATATGCGATAATCTATAACTATATTATCTATAGTAATGTTATAATCTTAGGTTACTTCTTAACTGTTGATGTTGTTAATTGTTACTGATTTTGCCTCACGTTACACCTAATAGAAGTGAAATTGCAATGAAAAATGCTGCAAAAATAAGCAAAGCTGCGCGGTCAGGTAGTGTATAAGACTAGCATGTGTTATATTTTTCATAGCGCCTTATTTTATACAATACTATCATTTTATTTTTGCTGATACAAAAAATATTTAGATATATATTCGTAATATAGAATAAAACTTTTCATTGCGATTTAAATTTATTTTTAATTACGTAGATGAAAATTGTGAATACATTGAAGTTTTTAAATTGTTTATTTCATAGTTGTACAACACACACAACTTCGAAAGTAAGTGCAAATAAAAATGTTTCTCTTTTAAAATGTAATAATGTTTGCTTTTTCATAAAATAAATAAAAAATCGATCTAACTTGAATTATACATTGAATACAGAACGAGTGGTTTGTTTAAACCACAGTATTTAGCGTTTTATTATTACCGCCTATCCCAACAGATGATAATAAAGATACATCATTATCTCCTGTTGGAATAGAATGCAACAATTCTATATTACATAAATATAATAACGATAAAGCCATTTATTCAGCATATGTAATGCTGTACTAGTATTAGTATTTACAATAATGTTTACTAGAAAACTTAAAAGCTAAAATATACTGGTAACGCTGAATGTGACTCCCACTCAGCATTTATATTGTAGAATAACTAAGTTATATCAGAGTGCTGATTTCAATGGGACACCAGACAAGAGGCAGCGTACGTACATATGATAACGAAGTAAATAAAATTTACCATTAAGCCCATTTTGTAAATACGTACGACAAACAAAATTCTCTAAACAGCTATAAAATATCGAAAATCCATAATCACTAGACCTTATTCAATAATGGGATAGAAAATGGGCCATTAAAATATAAAAGACTAGGCAACTAAAGCCTGCCCACTTGAAAAACGATAAAAATCCATTTCGAATGCGCATATTTTCCTGTAAGCCGACGCTCCGCGGCCGAGACAAAGGCCTGTGAAATTACTGTCTTGCTTTTAAATGCGGGAATGAGTCTCACTGTCTCATCCCCCTCAAAGCTTTGCGTTGAATCTGTGGTACCGCGCGTTGTTGTTGTGTATACAGCAGGGATGCCAACGTACGAAGTTCCTTGTACAAATACGGGATTTTTGGCTTTTATTCAATCATCAGGACATTTTCATCCTCGTACAAAAAACGATATTCTGACGTACGAAAGTCGATCAAAATACATTCAAGTTACGATGTTAAATAGCTAAATTGAGATTTGATTATATTTACTTGTACGAGGATTTGTTGTGTTTTAAGTGTTTTAAGGTTGGCAACCCTGATATACAGGTTGCAATCTATTTGAATTTTAGATATGTTACACCATGATCATACTCGTGCCTTGATGAATCGTTCTTTGTCGGAATATGGCGACAATCGACTTTTTTAATTAAGAGCATGAGTGCTGATGAAAATATGTTTCTTTATACAGGAGATTCTCTTTATGAGGTTCATATGAGATCCATATATCTTGAATTGGTACTAATAGTTATTGGTTGCGCCATATAACATTACATTTTTGTTTATCATTGTATAATTATTATTAGTAATAGTTTGTTCAAATAAATAATTTAGCGTGGTACGAAACGTTAATTTTCTAAGGATTGGCACTACACTAATTCCTTTATCCTCTCCTATTCCCGCACATACCTTTGTTTTAAGTGCGAGCGAGAAGATTCGCTTGTATCGAAAGTGACATATCGCGCTCGCGCGACGCTGAAGTTGACATTGAATTCCCGCCTTGATCGCGCTTAAGATCAAGTTTTTTTGTAATTCGTGATAATTACTAAACATTTTAATCCACCGCATCGCTCTAGTGTGTTTAAGACCATTGTGTTTGTGCCATTGTTGTGAAGCAAGTAGCTGGGACCTGGAGACACCGATAGCCGCCGCACTGCAACCTACAATTCAAAGGTACTGTGCCTCCTTCCTTACCAGAACTGTCTTTCTTTGTGTTCCATCCTCACAAGCAGTTCTCAATCACCAACCTAACAGTGTATCGTGTCAATCCACGTACCCGTCAGATTATTTAGATACAGTCCACTTAAATCAAAATCAAACAATATTTATTTCACCCGCGCCGCCATTATTTTAGTGGTCCTTCGAGCCGGATATTGTAATTATTTGGTTAAACCACCCTAGATATTTTATTTCTAGGTATATTTCGTACAAACGCATACAATTAATTTGTATTTTACTACATCATTTTCTTTATTTCGTTATATCGATGTTTCTAGAATCTCGTAGGTACATGTAGGTACAACTACCTGATAGGTTCATATCAAATTCTGTGTCAACTCAATTTCGCATCGTAAGTAATAGTAGGTATTTACGATTTGTTGTAATACTCCCGCATTGTTTTAACCTAACTATAGGTAAAACAACTTTATTTTTGTAGTCACCGCATTTATATTCGTAGTTATCAATTACTTTCGCGCCATTGTAGGTAGTCTATCTACCTACATATTGATATCCTCAGGCCCCCTTAGGGTAGGCTGAGACGCATACGATATTATAGCTTAATATTATCGCTTTCTACCGGTCTACTATTGAATAGGTTAGCGGCATAGACTTTGAATTTAGTTCGCTGTAATAAACAAGACATTGCTTACGCTGTAATAAACAGACATCGCTTTGTTTAATATAAATATTTGACAGATTCCTATCACGAGTACGTTGTGGTTTATTATTTCCTATTTTAATTGTAAGTACATTGTGTACTGCCGGCTCTCGTTGCCCGCATCGCACCGCATTGCACCGCACCGCACCGCACCGCACCGCACGTAACTTGTGTAGGTATTTATCTGTTCTCCACCGCACCGCTTTCTTATATATTTATTAGTACAAACAAGTTTTTGTATTTATAGGTTGTTCATCATGTCGGATGTCAATCAGTTACCCCTGTTACTCGCTAAAAAGGATTTAATGTTTTCTCGCATACAAAGTATTACAGATAGGACTCATAATCTTTCTAGTGAATATGAAAGAGAAACATTCTTGTGTGAGATCGAAACAGTTGACAAATTACGCTCGGATTTCGAAACTATGTTAGATAAAATAAATACTTTAGAATCTAAATTGAATCCTAAATATGTTTTTAATTATCAACCGCTAATGGCATTTGATGATTTGTATTGCCGTATAAAACGAGCCGCAAGATCGCTAGAGGTACCGCCTGATGTCAAACATCATCAGCATAATAGGGATGAGGACAGGCCTCGTCTGCCCCCCCTACCAATTCCGGAATACTCAGGAGATCTGAAATCCTGGTCTTTATTCTATACAGCTTACAAAAGCATAGTTCATGACAATCCTAGATTGTCAGATTCGGAAAAATTACATTATTTGATGGGTAAACTGACAGGTAAAGCTCGTTCTGTATTTGCCGGTATAAACCCTTGTTCTGAAAATTATAAGGTCATTTTAGATGCTTTAATTAGTAAGTATGAAGATAAGAGACTGCTCGCATCATCATACCTAGATCAAATATTCGAAATGAAGCCCTTTCATTCATCAAATATAAATAATTTAGAACAATTTCTCGATAAATTCGCAACTTCAGTATCCGCGTTAAATAACTTAAAAATTAATAATCTTTCGGATTTTATATTTTTGTATACCGCGTTAAAGAAATTAGATTCCGAAACCGCCCGCGCTTTCGAACTAGATAAACGGGGATCCGACATCCCATCTTTCGATACATTAGTGTCATTTGTGCGCGATCACATTAAAATATTGCAACGCACTTCTTCAAGCAACCAAGAAGTTACTAAGAAAGTTGTCGATCGTCGTATGGATGCGGCATCGAAAGTTATGCAACATAAATCTACATACTCTTATACTACAACCGCTAATCCGCAGCCTAAGTGCTCATTGTGTAACATACAACATGAACATTTATATAAATGTCCAGGTTTTC